TTTTCTGCTTTAATGAATCTTCTATCGTCTAACATGTAGTATTTATGGTTATTTTTCTGCTTTAATGAATCTTCTATCGTCTAACATGTAGTATTTATGGTTATTTTTCTGCTTTAATGAATCTTGTATCATCTAACATATAGTATTTATGGTTATTTTTCTGCTTTAATGAATCTTCTATCATCTAACATGTAGTATTTATGGTTATTTTTCTGCTTTAATGAATCTTCTATCGTCTAACATATAGTATTTATGGTTATTTTTCTGCTTTAATGAATCTTCTATCGTCTAACATGTAGTATTTATGCCTACCTTCGCAGAAATTATCTTGATCACGCTGTAGCTGCTTCTCGACGTGTAAATTTCACGTGATACTACCTATACAATTTTCTGTACAGTACGTTCTTTTATCATACTACAATGAAACATCATTACATCCACAACCTTACCTCCAGAGGATACTTTTTTCCATTCACCGTGTGTTCGGAGCCCCTGCTATCGTACTTGCCCCAGTGAAAGTGAAGTTGTAAGAATGTATACATGTTCCCCAGTCCGCCAGCTTCGATCGCTGGACTCTGGTTTCCAGTTACAGTGACCTGTGCTGTAAAATCATAGTTCAAGAAAACACCTTTAGTTTCAGTAAAGTTGGACTTGTAATTATATACATATAGATATATAAGAAACGTTAATGCAAATTAAGAAACGGTAATCTTTCGTGCCTAAAAGGCTCATAGAGGCTATGCTTAACTCCGGTTCCAGTGAATGTGAATTGTGATCTATTCCCTCCTGATAGGATGTCAGACCATCAGCTTGGTGCTGGTATATACGTTACGGTAAGCTGAAGCAAGTAAAGTGTCTTGCTCGAGGACATAACAACTAGGTAAGAGCAAACTTCAAACTCGCAACTTTAGATTACGAATCAAAAGGACAAACCTCTAGGTTACGCAGTCCCCTTTAAGACATGCATATGTACAGAGCGTCTAAGTATAAGAATGTTAATCAGTTCTCAAGTTAATAAGTATTTCATATTCTACAAGATTCAAAACTTACCAGTATGTCCATTGTTTTTAATCATAGCACTCTGTAGAGGGATGTCGTATCCAATAAATGATATCTTTCCTAGCTGCCTGTTCTTCTTTACCTTGGTCTTGTCGATGTTGATGGGTGACTGTTTGTTACTACTGCAAAACTTCGATACAGCAGCCCACTTGTTAAATGCTGACCACACAAAGTGTAAAACATATTAGAATTACTTATTACTTATTGGACATATTCTTTAACTTCTTTAACAAATCATCGTATTGTATTAATTTTAAATTGTCACAGTACTCATTGAAGCAAAACACAACGTTGCAAACCAATTCAATAAGAAATAGAATGTTGTTATTGATGATTTTAAGATCAAAGCTTCACAATGGGCTATCTGCCTCTGTCTAGTGCGGAAAATCGAGTCCCGGATTTTAGCGTTGTGGGTCTGGAACTTATCGCTGAACCATTAGAGAACAAAAAAAAATGTATAAAAATTAGATTCAATGCAGGATTATTCTGATGAATTTTGGATATAATAAAAACAGTTATGTTTATATATTGTTTTAGAAAATTATGTGTGGTTAAAGTTATTCTGGTAAATAGATATAACTGCCAAATTTACAATTTAACCAAAAGATAAGGAAAATATGTAAATATTCATCTATTTAATAGAGAATATTTTTTTCAACGCTACAAACCGGATTTCGACAACTGCAGTGGACACAACACAAACAGCTCATTGTGTAGCTTTGTGCTTAACAACAAACAACTTTTTCGAGATTTTTTATTTATAAAAAATAATAATTATGAATTGATGCCATTCGTTCAAAATTATCCGAACACACGATTCTTGAAGATAATAAGTTGGCATTATAACAATTAAAATCAAATTATAATTACATTGTGTTAACGAATAAATTACATTATAATAGTATGATTTATAAAACTTTAAATGAAACTAAATTCGACTCAAAAGTCCTAATTCTAAGTGATTTGTAAAAGTGGAGGTTAAGTAAAAGCCGAATAAATTTTAAACTGTTTGTCTAGATAAATAAATAAAGTTCATATCGAAGAAAATTTTCCATATATGTTCGATCATCTGTTTTTGAATAATATTTTTTTTTAAACTGTACATAACTGTGCTAGCACACACAAATCTCATACTGTTACTATCTTGTTCCATACAATATTATGTACCATCTTGTTCCATACAATATTATATACTATCTTGTTCCATACAATATTATATACTATCTTGTTCCATGCAATATTATATACTATCTTGCATAATATTGTATGGAACAAGATAGTATATAATATTGTATGGAACAAGATAGTATATAATATTGTATGGAACAAGATAGTATATAATATTGTATGGAACAAGATAGTATATAATATTGTATGGAACAAGATAGTACATAATATTGTATGGAACAAGATAGTATATAATATTGTATGGAACAAGATATTATATAATATTGTATGGAACAAGATGGTACATAATATTGTATGGAACAAGATAGTAT